ATTATACCGACAAGTCATTTTCTAATATATTCTATCAATTTAGCATAATACAGTCAACCTCTCTAAGTGCACTCACTGTGCAAACCCTCTCTAAATGCACACTATGTCTCATTCCCAAACTTATATTGAGCTTATAAATTATCCCCTCTAAATGCACACCCTCTCTAAATGCACGTTCATGAGAAATAATGATATGTTCCCAAGGAGGATGCACTTAGAGGGGTTGACTGTATTTCTTTGTTTTCCTACCATAACCATATCATTATCTGTTAATATTTAATAAATGGCATATATAATATATATTAATATATCTGATGATGTTAGCCAATTAGCCAGCTAAGCTGTCAAACCATTTATTAGCTGGCTAAGCTGTTCAAGTCTGTTAAACCATTTATTAGATGGCTAGGCTGTTTAAGTGGTTAAGCCATTTATTAGACGGCTAGATTGATTAATTGCACTATGAAATTACTTGTCGGTATAATGTCCTGTCGGTATAACATCCTGTTGGTATAATGTCTTGTTGGTATAATGTCCTGTCGGTATAATGGAGTCGGTATAATGGCTGTTGGTATAATGTCTGTTGGTCAATTGGGCAGGACCCATCAAAAACTGAGAATATGTAAATTTTTTAACGAAGGAGCTCAGCTCATTGCAATGTATATTTGTTCATCAGCAAATATGTTCTTCATTAACATTCAACAACATGGTTGGGCTTGTTTTATATATGGCCCAAATGGCCAGCAATTTGATTCAATTTTTTGGCTTCCACTAATTACACTGTCAGTGGGAAGAGACGGTCTTAATGAAGCATATAGATTAAAAAAATGGATGATATGGTTTTTTTTTAATTAGTTATTTTTGATTTTTTTTTTTTTAATGAAAGAATATTATTACAGTCGGAACTCGTTAAACCGGTGTGCTTGTTTTGGGCTCAAAACATCGTTTTATCGAATATTCATTTTATTGAGTAGTCTTCGATAAAACGAAGTTAATATATTTTTAAAAAAAAATTTGGTTTAAAGAGTTATACATCAAAATTTACATATTCGTTTATGCTACATTGATGTGCTAATGAACTTTTATAAAATAAAATGCTACTTCTAACAGAACGAATAGTAGAAATTTGCTTTGTTGAAGTTTCAAATTTTTCTGGCGGGTAAGTTATGAAATTAAGAAGTACTTCAGCACTTTTTAATGCTTCAGTTAAAGTAGGTCTGGATATTTTCCCTTACGTAAACGTTTATTATGTGAATTGGGATCTTCTGGATTAATATTAAGATATTCCGACTTTCATTTCAATATGTCACAAACAGTATTTTCATGAATTTTAAATTGAGTAGCAAGGTCTCTATTCGTTGGAGTAGGTTTCAATTGTTTTGAACACATATTTCTCTTTTTTCTTTTAATGTCAGTGTATTTTTCATTTTATCTTAATGTAGAACAATATATACTACTACTACTGTAAATCATTTATAAAATTATACAAAATAAAGCGAAGTTTCTTTCGATAAACCGTATTATTCGTCTTATCGAGTTATATTTAATATATGTGGAACCATATGCAAACCCTGTCTTAAACATTTAAGTGAAACAATAGGAATATTCGTCTTATCGAGTTGATTTTATTAATAAATGAATAGGGAAACTAGAAAAACTTCGTTATAACAAAAATTCGTTTTATCGAGTCACGTCTTATCGAGTTCCAACTGTATTATGAATTTGATCAATTAACATTCCTTCATTTTATATTCATTTTTATTACTCGAATTTAGAAGGCATTTCTTAAACTAAAGCTTAATTCTATTCTAAGAAATTTATTTTTATAAATTAATTAAAATGCTGAAACATTTAACGGTGGCTTTAATTATTTAAATATAAGTTTATCTATTATTATATAAATCAAAGGGGCAGAAGGGATGTATGTAATTCATAGTCAGCTTAGGCTTTTTTTTTATTGGTCCGACATCTTTTCTTTCTTTTATTATAAATAGAACTTCCATCCGTTAAAAAAAAATTTGGCAGCGCTCAACTTAACTTAACGTCAACATTAATGTAAAATTAATGTAATGTAAATGATGACGTTGACGTTGACGTTGATGTTAACGTTAACGTTAACTACTCTATATACACAACGCAATCATTTTTGTAACACTTGAAAATTCCTTTTTTAAACAAAATTCTACACAGTAAGTCTCGGTATAGCGGACCTCGGTATAGCGGATGTCTAATAAAACTCTCAGTTTAACGGATCAAAGCTCAGAACCGTCTATAAGTAAATTCTCTCAGTTTAACAGATTTACTAATTAAATCTTGAATTAATCTCGGTATAACAGATTTTTGAAATTTTTGTTCTAATTGCTCAAATTATCCACTTTACCGAGACTCACTGTGTAATTCAACAAGAGATCTTAAGAAATATAGTTAATAATAGCATCAATTTAGCAACAAATACCTACTCTCATGACATATCAGCACAAAATAAACTTCTTACAGTTTCTGTGCAGGTTAGTTAATAAGTTTTACAACAATATGTCTTTAGTAGCACATGATGATTGGTGCATTTCCAATGAAGCGAGAAGATCATTGGGTTTTCAAACTTGTGGAGGTTCTAGTCAATGGAGGGATCTGTCCAACCTGTTATTCTGGATTCAACCCCAGGTATCATGGAGAAAACTCTGGGTACCCATTAGCCGACTAGTACTGGATTCAACTTCACAGACGTATGTGGGTACTCTGGCTTTAGCCTTGCAAGTTTTGGAAACTCATGTGTGGAAAACAAAGTTGCTTACAATGTGCAGGCCACGCAGAGATGGCAACTTTGTTATATTATTCTGACAACGCGAGCTCACAATATTAAAAAGATTCATATCATCATCAAAGACTAATCTATTATATTTTTATGTGCCAGTTTGATGTTGCTTTTGAAGGGGTTTGTAGCCTTAGAGATATCAAGACATCAAAGGCAATAGTGAGTCCTATCAGCAAAGAAGAAATCTCAAAAAATATGCGAGGGCTGAAATCTAAACTTAGTGTAAGTATGTTGATAATATTAGTAAATTACTACAGATTAGGAAATGATTCATACTTTTATTTTATAGGGAAATTCTCCCAGCTTGCTGGAGAAATTCGCCAATTATTAAGATATGTAAATAATGATGAGTTAACATGGAAAAACCCACTTGCCAGTCAGGTAATCAGTGATGATTCTGATTTGGTGCAAAATGGTTTAACGATATTAGCATGTCAAACTTTTATGAAACCAGCCCAATGTATGCAACCAACACTACCACCAATTATTCAAGAAAGATGCAATTCTTTTATAGAACATTTTAATATTGAGAATGTTGATGAATTTCCACGAAAGTTGACAAATACGGGTAATTGGAAGGAGACTGAAGAGGAATTAGTGCAAATTACGGAAGAGATTCTAGATATATTGTATATGTTTCTTGCTTTGCATTCACAAAGTGACTATATTGTAGTAATATAAAATCGTCATGTGTTAATCATGACATTTTTTTTCAATCTTTAGGAGAAACGTGTGGAAGAATCCCTCCTTTAATTCTCAGAATGCGAGTTCTCAGAGTGAAGGAACATATATGACGGATGTGATTGTTCCTATTATCCACTCTACACTGAAAAAGCTCCCGATTGGGAAATCTGCCTTGCTTTAAAAAGAAAAAACTTTAAATTGAAAATTCAGATCTAAAAAAGATAAATCGCAATGCATCACCATTTCATCAAGGGACTGGGGAAGAAATCATGGTCATTTTTCATTTCTCAGGAGTATTAAAACAAGCGAAAAGATACCTGAAATAAATTACAAACTTTGTCTCACCATGAATTGTCTTGGTGAATTCTACTTGTGTATCCCCAAACCACTTGAAATTAAGGCTGATAACCAAGGTCCTAAATTTCCAGTGGCTGAAGAGAATAAAGGCACTGGCATCATTTCTCTTGATCCAGGAGTGAGAACCTTCATGACTGGCTATAACCCAAGCGGTGAGGTTATAGAATGGGAAAAGGGGGATATTAGTAGAATACATCGCTTGTGTTTGCATTATGATAGAATCCAAGGTGAAAGGGATTCTATTCATGGCAAAACAAATAAACGTAAAAGATATAAGTTCCATCAGTGCATGCTCCAGATCCACAAGAAAATCCATAATCTTGTGGATGAATGTCATAAAAGATTAGCAAGATGGTTGCGTGAAAACCACCATATAGTTTTGCTCCCTGAGTTTAAAACACAAGATATGGTTGAAAAATGTGGTTCTAGAAAAATCCACTCTAAAACAGCAAGAAATGTTGACCTGGTTACATTACCGTTTTCACCAATGTTTGCTCCACAAATCCTGCGAGCACCCTTGGTTCAAGGTCATCATCTGCACTGAGGAATACACCAGCAAAACATGTGGATGTTGTGGAGTCATCAAGTCAAATTTGGGCAGTTCAAAGATCTTTAATTGTACATCTTGCAAATCCACCATTAATAGAGATGTAAACAGAGCTCGAAATATACTTTTGAAGTATATTACAGAAAACAACAAGAGTCATTCACGACGTTGGGGCTTACACCCGAGACACCTTATTGTAGGCTGCCTATGTAGGACTTGTACTTAGTATAGGTTCAATGTAAGAGGTTAGTATTAATTTTTTTTTTAAATGGTTTAACATAATTAATTTATTATTTTGCACTCGTTTCATATTAATATTAATATTTTTTTTCACTTGTTAAACTCATTAATTCAAAATTTGGATATACAGTAAACTCGGACATTTATCAAGTGCTTTAAACAATTGATTGAGAGGACCGACTTATTGAGTCTACCTGTATATTTGTGAACTAAAGCCTGATATACATATATACAAGAATGGGTCATAGTTTTTTATGAAACTTTTTCCTTATTTATATTTCTTCAATAAACTTAACACAGACTTCTCATCCATTCTTATATTAATGTTAAAAATAATTAGAAAAATTAGATTTATTTTTTATTTTAAAATTTAAAAACTTGCGATTTATTGTAACCCAATCTCTTTAATAATCCACCAATAGCACCTTGGGAGAAATTTTTTCCTTTATCACCACTTATATGTCTAATCAAACTATCATAATAAATAAAATTAATACAATATTAATAATCTTTATTTATTGACTAAATATATAATTTATATTTTAACTTATTAAATTATTATTACCCATCAGGTCCACAAACCAATATCATTATATCTTCGTTTGGATTGGGTAAAAATTTCTTTATCATATCTTCATTTATAAATCCTACTCCCCACTTCCAATCATCATTACTATTTCCAGGTGATGGCGGATTGTCGATGGTGTAATAAATTTTCAATCTATCAGGATATTTATTTGCCAATTCATTCAACTCATCATATAATAAAACATCGCTTTTTGACAAACTTGAATATAGTAAAAATAATTTGGTTTTATCATCTGGATTTTGCAAAATATGACTTATTATTTGCTTCCTTTATGAAAAAAACAAGAAGAGGTAAGTTATTTTGTGATTCATCTTTCAGACGAATATTATTGTTGTTATTATTATTTACATTGGAGTAATTCCTGTTCCACCACAAATCTTTTAGAAAAAAAAATAATCTTTTGAATCAATAAATAATCCTACTAAATATTTTCTAATAAAATATTATATCTTACCATTCCAATATATTTTTTCATATTTGTCTCATATTTCCAAGTGGTCAAAGGTCCTCTGATACTAACTGAATCACCAACTTTTAAACTATTCAAATAATTTGACATGTATCCATTTTTATATTTTTTAATCAACAATTCTAAATAACTTTTATCATCATCAGTATTATTAATTGGTGTATATTCACGTAATATTTGAGCTGCTTCATCTTTTATTTGAATGCAAGAAGATATTGGTAATGGTTGATTTAGCGGATTTGGTAATCGAAGACGATATAATGTAGTATTATGATTAATTTGTTTGATTGAAGTTATTTTACAATATATAAATTGTGTTGACGATAAAAAATCTTTGGATGAGTTATTGTAAAAATAATAATATAATATTGTTGGTGTTATAATAATTCCTGTTAGTGCAAATAATTTTTTTTTGAAGTTTGAATTGTTTTTAATTAATCTTACTTTTGTAAATGTTGAGGTAAATTTTGAATTATTTAGTAATAAAGAGGAAGAAGAACCGAAAGAAAATTTTGTAAATTTTGTAAATAATAATGGCATTTTTTTTTTTTTGATATTATCAAAGGTCAAAATGAAATCAAATTTTCAAATTTTTTGTCCCTATAAGAAAATTAAAATCACACAAGAAATCTCCTAACTAGAGATGTTCCAATGTGCACATAATTTTGGAAATCATACATTTGCACAGAGAAATTTAAATGTATGAATTTCAAAATACTGTATATGGTTGCATTTCGAAAAGTTTAGACTTGCAAGATGTAAGTAGTGTAATTATGAATCAAGTTGAAGATATGAAGGACATTTAAGAATATGCCAATTAGTACCAGCTCAAGTTTTACAACTTTTTCTTAGTACAAATAATAATAATAATAATAATAGCAATAAAATAGCAATGAATCATCTTCACTATCATCAACAACAATAACAACAATTCAAGAGTAATTCATCAGTCTATTTTTTTAATTCCTAGATCGAATTTCAAAAACTGAACAAGAACTTGAAATACTGTTTGCAAAATCAACTCAATGCTTATAAATTGTAAAATCCAAAAATAAAGAAAAAGATAATATTAGCAAAAAAAAAAAAATGGTGATAATAATGAAGATGAAAATGCTGATTATAACAAGGGTGAGGAAGATAATACTGATGATGATGATGATGATGATGATGATGATGAAACTATGACGATGATGACAACAATGATAGTTGAACATCTGAAATTTTTAATTAAACTATTATAATGCTACAAGAAAACTAAATCAATCATTAAATAATAATAGCAATGAAAGTTGATAAAGCCTCACAACAACTTGAAGACAACAACAGAATCGGAAAACGAATGAGATTTACTGAAATGAACAATTTAAAGTTTCTTAATATAAATAAATATATTGTGGTATGTGGTTAGTTTTTTCTTGATTTGGATATGAATTAGACTAAAATAATAATAATAAAGTGATATATTTTAAATATCAAAGTCTGTGACAATTAAAGACCAAACTTTTTAAAACACAATGATGCATTTGTTCCACCAAATCCAAAACTATTAGTCAATGCATAATTCACCTTCTGATCAATTGGTGTCTGTACAAAATTAAATTGACTTGTTTTTTCTAATTGTGAATCCAAGCTATTCAGATTTAGATTAGGTGGCAATATGTCCTTTTTAATAATAAAAATATTTAAAATTAAATTTGTGTGGATCAAAAAAAATTTCATTTTAAAGAAGAAAAAATAACTTTTTAATCCAAAAATTACATGATAAATTGCTAGTATTGTAAAGATAGCTTCAACTGCACCAGCAGCTCCTAATAAATGTCCAATTGATCCTTTAGTTGAAGAAATTGCTAAATTTTTCTTATTATTATTATCTAATGGAATTTTTTTCTTTAATGATAATAATCAATGTATACAGAATATTTAAAACTAATAATAAGTTTTTACCTTTAGAATGAAACAATGAATGAATTGCTTTGATTTCAGCTACATCACCTAATTTGGTTGGGAAATTTTTTGTATTCAATTTTTAAAAATAAAAATAAAAATCAATAATGTTATTTTTATTGTTGTACCTATCAGGGTTGAGGTAGCATGTGTATTTATATAATCTATGTCTTTTGGCAATATTTTTGAATGATTCAATGATCTAATCATTGCTAATTTTGCTCCATGTCCATTTTCATGTGGTGCAGTCATATGATAGGCATCACCTATTATTATTTATTATTAAATGAATTAGAAGATTTGTATTAAGAGAAGATTGAATTCATAATATCTTTCTTACCTGATAACCCATAACCACATATTTCTGCATATATACGAGCACCACGACTTATGGCATGATGATATTCCTTTTAGAAAAATTAATATATTTATACAAAGTTAAAATATCATAAGCTCTTATATGTGTTTATCAATTACCTCCAGCACAAGCATTCCAGCACCTTCACTTATCACAAAACCATTTCGATCTTTATCAAATGGCCTTGAAGCTTCCTTTGGATTGTCATTAAATTTTGTTGCTAAAGATTTTGCTCTAATTATTATTTAATAATGATAATATTAATAATTTGTAAAGAAAAGTCATTCTTATGTAACTTAATATTACTTTGCAAATCCTGCTATGGTTAATGGCAGTATGCATGCTTCAGATCCACCTGCAATCATAACATCAGCATCACCAAACTGTATGAATCTACTAGCATCACCTATTGAATGTGCACCGGTAGTACATGCTGTTGACACTGAGTGATTTGGACCCTTTTATATAAATATTTAAAGAAAATTAGCTCAAAGTTTTAGGAACCAATAATATATTTATATATAGCTTACATGAAACCCATATTTCAAACTTAAGTGACCTGCTGCCATATTTATTAAAACTCTTGGTATAAACATTGGATTTACTTTATGTGCACCCTATAAAAATTAATACATATATATTAGTCAACATCCCATCGAAAGAAAACATGCAATGATAAACATAATCATAGAATGAGGATTTACATGCATGTTCTTTATAAATCATACTGGTATCAATTATATCCTGAAAACTTCCTATTCCTGATCCTATGCAAACTCCCTATTAAATCATTCATAAATAAAAATTTTAAATAAAGTATATTATATATATACACACAGAATAAACATTACAGTTTTTTCTTTATCATCATCTGATATAGAAATCCATTCAGCATCAAATAATGCTTGTTTTGCTGCACAAATTGCATATTGTGTAAATAATGCCATTTTTCTTTCATCCTATCAATCAAATAAACAAACAACATGACATAAACAATTAATTTATTTACTTGTTAAAAAGAGAAATTCTTTAAAAGCTTTTTAGTTACCCCGGGATCTAACCATTCTTTAGGATCAAATCCACTATCTTCATATTTACCAGGTTTAACTAAACCAGCTACAGTTGATGTCAATTTATTAAATCCACCATTCTCTTTTTCATTATATGGCAAATTTGATAGTCGGTTATCACCAACACCAATTCCATTTTTAACATTTTCAGAAGCAACATCATTTTTAGATGGTATATGTGAAGGTGCAGAAGATAAAGTAAAAGAAGGGAATTGGAAATATTTTTTAAAATAGTAATAGATAAATTTACTAATAAAAATGGATAAATAAAAAATGATCGTCAATTTGTTTTGAAATATCACATGTAGCACGAAATTTTTTGACCATATAATTTATAAAAATGGTCCCTATCCTTAACAACACATTTTTGAAAAAGGCTCGATTTTAATCAAGTGATTTCTTTTTCGTATTTTTTTTTTACTTATTATAAATACAACCTCTGAACGTTTTAAAAAAATTTGGGAGGGTGATCATGATTATAATCATGATCAAAAGATTTATACAACGCAATCAATTTTGAGGAACGAAAATTTTCCTTTTCTTTCGAAAATTTCCAAAGAGAGATAGTATCGTTGCCAATTCTTTCTAAATATTACCAAAATAT